CCATGGCAATAAATTATTTTGAACCCAAGACTTAGCTTCTCTTTCCAACCTTCTTCTTTCCCTCTCCGATCTTTCTCGCCTATATGAATGTTTCTTCAGCTCTCTGCTTTCTTGTTTGGGAAGGTGGATGTGACCTATTGGCCAGTTGATGGTTCTTCTAATATCACCTATTCTTTCTCTTCTTCTAGTTTTTCTATCATCTTCCTTCTTCTCTACTGCCTCTTTCCTCCTTTTCCGAAGCCTCTTTGTCTCCTCCTGTGCATTTCCTTCTTGGGCTTTTTAATATTTGTGTCCTCCTCCCTTTATCTCCCAGTACTTTGTCTGGATGTCGCTCTTTCACTTCTCTTTGGGATTGGCAGCATGAGGAAGGGAATCTGTCTCCCAGTCATAGGTTCTCATAGCTACTGGTGAGCTGCTGGTCTCATATCCCTCAGTGCTAAGAGAAGAGAACGGCTTTCAGCCTTGCCATTCATCTCACAATACCTTGTGTGAATTCCCAATGAAACCGATAAATTTTATGCTGAACATAGCAACTTGTTTAAAATAATGTTACAACTCTAGATTCAAAAAATAGCTAATTTTTCTAGTTATTATTACAATTTTAGAAAAACATCTCTTGCCCAGTTGCTACTAATGAAAAGTTCATTCTTTCTTTCCCCAGTCCTTTTCAGGAGAAGAGGCTGGAATTATTTAAGATGTTTCTGTGGTGATTTTTTTTTAGTTTTCTGTACAAATTTGACACCAGCTTGTAACTGTGAATGTATTAATTGCAGTGTTCTGAATACTTCTTAGTGCAATGCAAGATATTTTTCAATTTTCAATTAAAATATTTCTAAATTCTTAGCAGATGCGTATCTGAATTAAATTACTAATGCATCCATAGTTTCATGCTGGATATTTCTATAAGTAAGATTTCACCATATGTGTGAAATATATACCTTATCACTAAAGATGCGGGTATTCAAATACAAATACCCACACACAGGTGGACATAACGGGGGTCCAGCCCCCTGGGATTGGACTGTCCACTCACCTTCCACTGTTGCTGTGGTCTCTGAGCTCCCTTCCTATCGCTCTGGAGCTTGCAGTCCGTGAGCCACTCCTGGCAGGAGGCGGGAGCATGAGCCTCGATGCCAGGTTGAAGAGTGGGCCTCACAAACCGCAGCTCCAGAGCAATAGGAAGGGAGTGCAGATCCCGCAGCAACAGTGGAAGGTGAGTGGAACCCTCATCATGTCCACCTGTGCAGGGTTATTCATATACAAATACAAATCCCCCAATCTCTACTTATCACTATCATGTTTGCATTACAGTAAAACAAAATACCACCCCTTGTTTCATAAACAGTATACGTTTTCTATAATATTGGAGGGGGCTGGCACATTACTGCTGAGTTAAGTCTCAATCTGGATATTTTCTTCTGGTGGCCAGAAAAGCTGGTTGGTAGAAGAGAAAAGTCAATTGATCTGAGTCCTTCCTTCTACTCTCTCAAAGGCAGTATGTGATGTGTTCATCCGCAAGGAATAATTATGATATCCCAAATTTGACTGCCTTCTCCCACAGTGATGATTCAAGTTCTCTGACTTCTGATGCAGATTTACATCTGACTGATGAATACACTAGACAAGTGGTTCCCGACTTTCGTTTTCCAGATCTTCTTGGACTGTGCTAGACTTCTTTAGATTTATCCTATCAGATATTTCGAATGTCATCTCCCAGGAGCTTCAGTTAGCATGGCCAATGGTTATGGCTGCTGGGATTTAAAGTCCAAAAGCACATGGAGGTCAGCTGTTGAGAAGCATTGCACTAAATATCAAATTTAAGAGCGAATCCATTTCCATCAAAAGTCTCTGGTTTCTGGAGCATTCCTGATGTCAGCAGACATACAACGGGCCCCTATTGCTTCATGAGGCTTCCTTTGCATCCTTCTTCCCAAACCTATTGCAGATAAGGAGGTACTGATGAGGATTCTCACTAGAAATTATGGGGAGTCTGGTTGAACCCTACATGTTGCCATGGGTATGAGAAACAAACCCAACAATGGTGCAGTACTGAAAGTGTGTAGTGGTATTAACAGGAGGGGCTAAAATAATTCAGTATATGATGGACACAGGCTGTGGGATGAAAGGTGGGTCTCATCCTAACCTGGGAATTGTAGCAAGAAATAAGTCAATAATTCCTTCTTTTTTAAAACCATCAATTAATTCTTACTCATAATCTGCAACAGTTTGGGACTGCCTGTTCTGTCAACAGAACATGTTCTCAGAACCATTAACCTAGACTGCCCAGTTTACCTTTGAGTTCCCAAACACTACCAATAGTCTTCACTGGATACTTTAAGTGCGGAAGTGCTTGCTTCTCTTCCATAATTGTTGTGGCTCTGCAACCCATTTTGCGTTCTGCTTCAGTCATATTCTAGAGCTAGATTTCAAAATAATAGTAGAATTGCTTCTGCACAGTGCCAAGCCCAGATTTTTATATGGTTTTTAAAAATTGTTACAAGTCTGGCTGCACTGGTCTGATTTTTGTACGGAAAAACTTCAGAATCTTCAGCTAGAACAAAACATGGCTATCTGAATACTTTTGAGGGCGTGGTCATTGGACTAAGTGACACCTATATTGTGCTATTTGCCCTGGTTCCAAGTGTCCAAGCCCAAATAAAATGCTGTTTCAAAGCTTCTTCCAAATAATTTGGTTTGGAGCCATATTACTTGGAAAATCTCCACTCATACTAGGCTGCCCACACTTTGATGTCAGATGAAACCCCTTCACATGCTGGTTAGGAAGAAGACAATCACATTGGCAAGCAGCACGGCCTTTGGACACATTGGCAGCAGGGAAGCAGAAAGCAGATGTGAGCATGGAAAGAACTGGATTTGAACAGGCTAGGTAATGACATGGATATCTATGACCCATAGATGTCCCCCCCCTTCCAGTATAATTAAAATGGGTTGACAGCAATTTAAAAAGTCAAGGAAATTGAAGATTTCAGATCTCTCATGGAACTGCTGCCCTAAGGCCCTATGCAGCCCATAGAGTCTTCAGCACCGACCCTGTGGTTTTCCTTTGTCCTCAGCAACATGCACTTTCTGTGTGGCAACTTTGGTTCAGAAAATATTAATTGATACACAAGAGGCAACCAGGAAATAGCTGTATTTAATCCACATTCTTTGAACTCTTTGATTGCTAATTGAAGGCTGTTATCTAGAAGCTTCTTTCTCTGTTCCTTGCCTTCCACATCTGTTATCATCCCCTCCCTGAATTTTCCTTTCTGATGCATTTGATTTCTGACTTTTTTGTATGGCTATGTGTGAATTATATATTTTCCTGTGGATCTGGGTTCTTGCTACACCCTATGCTTAATGGTTGGGGGAAAGGGTAATATAAGGCAGATAGGAATAAATTTTGCATAACGGTTGGCGTCATTCCACTACATTTCAACAAAGGGAAAAGAAAGCTCCCATTGGAGTGAATGGGAGCTGATTATCAAGCTTAATGATTTGTGTGTGCATGAATCAGTGGGGATTTGGAGCCAGCTCCTCCATAAGTTCCATTGATTCAAATGGACATACTATGTGAAATGGACTTACTATGTGTAAGTAGCAACTTTTTAAAGATTAGGCATCCTTCAGTCTCGAGAGACTTTGGTAACATGCTCTGAATAGAGGACTTGGAACAACATCTAGTGTGGCTGAGAAGGCCAATTCGAGAGTGACAATCCCTTCACATTGAAGACAAATGCAACCTGTCCCCTGTCCAGCTCCCTAATTTTGCTGCTTTTGTGACTGCCTCTTTGCCTCGGCCTGCTGGACAAGGGTCTCTTCAAATTGGGAAAGGTCATGATGCACTGCCTGCCTCCAGGCTGAACGCTCAGATGTCAGGGTTTCCCATCTGTTGAGGTCCATTCCTAAGGCTTTCAGATCCCGCTTGCAGATATCCTTGGATCGCAGCTGTTGTCTCCCTCTGGGGTGCTTTCCCTGCACTAATTCTCCATACAGGAGATGTTTTGGAATCTGACCGTCAGCCATTCTCACATGGCAACTAGTAGCAACTAGAGCAGGCCTATTTATTTCAATGAGGGTGTTGATTCAACAAATCCGCAATGATTTAATGGGCCTACTTTAGTGCAAGTTAGTATACAAAGCAATAGGATTTTGGCCACTGTGTAAAACTGGGTCTGTGTGCTATGTGTGGGTGCATATGTGTCTAGATGTGAATATATGCGTGTTCTGTACGTGAATATGTATGAAAGGAATGTGTGCATTTTGTGTGCATAAGTGTGTGTGTGTTGTGTGTTGTGTGTATGTGAGTGTCTAGGTAAGGGTCTGATATCACTTCAAACATCCTTGAAATGTAAACTCCCAAAGAATAACAAGGAAATGCAGCCTAGGAAATATACAATCAAGTCTGAACTCAGAAAAGTCCAGTGTCAATATTAAAGAATCATACTTTATTTTAAAAGTAACATCTATTTCATTAGGTCACACACATAACTCACACCTCCCAAGCATACTGCTACTTACCCACATGCTTTTTTCCCTTTATTTTCTTTACAAATGCCCACCCAGAAGGTTTACTACTGCAGCCTATAAATTTCTGCAGGCAGGGTGCTTCCTAGCATGTATATAATAACTGTATACCCAAGAACATGTTTCTCTTCAGTATGATTAAGGAGGTCTCGCTCCTGAAAGGCAGTTGCAAAATGGCAATTTCTTTGTATAGGCAGTTGTTGCTGTTGTTTAGTCATTAAATCATGTCCAACTGTTCATGACCCTATGGACCAGAGCACACCAGGCCCTCCTGTCTTCCACTACCTCCCAGAGATGGGTCAAATTCATGTTGGTAGCTTCGATGACACTGTCCAGCCATCTCGTTCGCTGTCATCCCCTTTTCCTCTTGCCTTCACACTTCACACAATGTAAACATATTACCTTTCCCCTTTTCCTCACCAGGAACATGCTATAACAATTAAAACATAAATTTCACAGTGCCAACTGTTTTATTCTGCTGTTTTGGGGATTTAAGGTCTCAGTTGAGGGGAGAAAATTATTTAGGCCCACAAAGCATAATACTGTAATATGATTGTTTCCTTCCCAGTCTGCAAAAAAACATTTCTCAGCTAAGCTAGTTGGTATTTGGTGGCATTTAAAAATGACTAGCTTACATAACCACCTTCTCAGATCTCAGAGAGTAAAGATGAAACACCATATATTTTCATTAGAGAAAAAAGCACATCTTAAGTTAAGCACTCAGTAAGCCTATATGGTGTGTAGATGTTAGACTAGCTACATTTAAAGACAGAACCTGGCTTTAGTGCCATACATTAGTGGAGCTAGAAATTTGCTCCACCTGTATTTCCAAACAATTTAGAGTAAAACATTTAAGCACTTATTCTATCTTCAAAATAAAAAGAAAATTCACATTTACACAGCACTGGTCCTATGTAAGTCTGTACGAAATGTATATAACAGAAGAGTATATAAGCCTTTTGCTGGCAGTTAACCTTTGTACATAAGAAGAGGGAGTGTGGATGGGCAGGATTAATCTCTTTTCACCTGCACCACTTCTTCATCACCTTTCGCATGTGGAAGTTGCATATGTGCTGTGAAGAAGGGCTTCTTAAGCATGACCACAGACAGTGAAGGATAGGAACCTTCAAAATGAAGGTACCAAGCCCTGTTGAGATTGTCCATGGATAGAGCAAAGTCTACACTGAAGACATTTGACTTACACATGTGAAGGGGGATAAATACTATAGATGTGAAAAAAAATTGTGCTGACACTGAAATTTTTCTCAGATCTGGCTATCTCAGCATGATGAGATTAGAATACGGATATTCATCAATTCTCTTGAAACAGACCAGTTCCAGCATGAGATTGGGATGACAAAGTGGTGGCGGCGGGATTCCTCATTGTTGCTGTTGCTCTTCTTCCTCCTCTTGTTCACTTGCTCTGGTGAATTCCATGACTGGAATATGGCAATTGAAGGGTGTAAACTGTTCAAAAAGAACAGAAAGGCAGGTGAAGTCACACAATATTTAAACCCTAAAGGCAGGAAATATAGAAATACTAATTATAAATCAATCAAATAACACACTAAACAAAAACAACACCAAAAGCACATTCAAAACAGTAAAGGACAAAAATCCATTTATTTATCCCACTCAAGCAGCCAGTCACTGAGGAAAAGCTTGTCTGAAGAGAAAGGGCTTTGCCTGCTTGTGGAAGGACAACAAAGATGGGGCCATCCTGGCCTCCTACGGGAGGGAGTTCCAAAGTTTGGGAGGAGCAACAGAGAAGGTTCTCTCCCATTTCCCCACCAAACACACGTTTGAAGGTGGCGGGATAGAAAAAAGGCCTGCCCTGATTATCTTGACCCCGGGCAGGGGGGCAGGTTCATAATGGGAGATACGGTCCTTGAAATAGCTTGGACCCAAGCCATTTAGGGCTTTATGGGTTAAAACCAGCATTTTGAATTGTGCACAGAAATGGATTGGCAACCAGTGGGGCTGCTTGTGAAAGGGGATAAATACTAGGGGTTATGTGATTCCTGTAACCAGCCCCAATTAGCAATCTGGCAACTGTATTGTGGACCTGCTGAAGTCTCTAGGCATTTTCTATAGGCAGCCTCACCCAGAGCACATTAGAGTAATCCAGCTGGGATGTAATTAAGGAGGTGTCACCATGGCTAGAATAGAGGTCTCCATGAATGAGTGCAGCTGGTGCACTAGTTTTAATTGTGCAAAGGCATTCCTGGCCACTGCTGAAACATGGGTATCTAGGCTCAGAGACCTGGTACAGTGGACCCTCTACTTAAGGAATTAATCCGTATTGGAATGGTGGCTGCAAGTCGAAAAGTCTGTAAGTCGAATCCCCATTGACCTACAATGCACTGAAAACCGATTAATCCCATAACCAGTGGTTTTTATTCTATTTTTATTCCATTTTGGTTTTTTTCTGGTCTGTAAGTCGATTCTCTGGCTGCAAGTCGAATCTAAATTTTGCAGCCAGAGAAGTCTGTAAGTCGAAAAGTCTGTAAGTCGAGCCGTCTGTAAGTCGAGGGTCCACTGTACCTGAGTTGATCCATTATAATAAAATAGAGATACTGTAGTTCTGAGGAGTGCTGCTTTATTACACAGCTTGTAGCAAAAATCTGAAAATTTAGGATGGGACAAATAAATATAGCTGTATATTCTGTGAGGTTAAAAACAGCACATTTCAGAGTTTTGGTATGCAAAGCAACTTCCTGGTAGCTTTTTCCTTGTCAGTGTAACACTGAAGTAAGAACTACAGCCTATGATTATCAGTATGCTGCTTATTTCAGCTACAGCGATGCAATAGCAATGTCAGTGGGGTCATTTCATCGATGAGATGTCAAGAGAAAGCGACACGTATTTTCATTTAGACCATCTTCTGCATGAAGACATAAGAGGTAAATATTGTATTAGAAATTAATTGAGCCTTTTGGAACACAGGCAGGGGGGAAAGCTACACCCCAACAACTATGGCTGATTAATATTAATGATGATACATTGAGTAAGTGATGGTTACTTCATTGTCGCTCATTTTAAACAAAGCCTAAATTGCCTAATTAAACATTTATAGGCTCTTGCTTAAATGCCAATTGGCCACAAATTGCTGTTGCTCCATCAGTTATCACTATGACTACCACAAAAGCTAAAATGAACTACCAAAATACATAAAGTAGCTCTTGAAGGCTGGTTCTGGCAGGAAGTCAGAACATCTCCTGTGCAAATGTATCTCTTCTATAAATAATATTTGGCTCAATTACATCAGTGAACCTATCCAAAAATTAGCAGATCACCCAGGAAGCAAAGTGCAGGGTTTAAATCCCCAACAGAATGTCTCATTAGAACCAATAAGCTACTGGGCCTTCAGAGCTAAGTGATGGTTTGGAATTTCTCAAGACCTGGAGCCCAACTTGAAACTATTTTGATTCCCATTATTTTGGGAACCTCAGTGAGATACAATGGGTCAGATCCAGTTGTAAGTTCCAGCTAGAATAAACATACACTATGACTACATTGGCAAGCTGGATGGAGCAATTCAGCCTTCTTGTGGCTTGATTCACAACCTATTTTATGATTCCATTCATAGCCCAAAGCATATTAACAGCAATTATGCTGGAAAAAAATACTTAGAGATACTAATCTCAGGAATCTGTGTATTCATGTGCAGGATTCATAGCAAGTTCCCTCTTTGTACTACACATTTCCTAAAATCATTTTTCTCTTTCATCTCTCTGAGTTGCTCTTGTTTCAGTGAGCATTCTGCTTTTTTGTTGCTCATTTTGAGAGTTTAGATACATGTTAATATTATTTTCTTTAATTATTCTGTTTATCTGTAATTATCTTGGAGCACCAGAGGGGAAAAATGATAAGATGTGGTGTAGATGTAGTTCCAATAATATGCATATTTCCCTTGTGAGCCCCTCCTCAGTATGTCATCATTATTTCCCTCATGCTTAAAGATGCACTGTCTAGTTTTAGACTAAAGGCCTATTTAGACAGTGAGTGGTCTGGTTCACACTTAAAAGGTTCTTATCCAGTGTGATCTGTCTACTTAAGTAGCCCTTCTGTTCACACTATTTATTCTCCTGTGAGAAGGGTCCACACAGATCTTTGGCTTGCCAGTTTACTCATGAGTAGGGGGAAGATTTCTATCACATTTCACATTTTCTCTGCAATGTGCATTTGAACCTATCAGTATAAACATGAGTATAGATTGCTCATAAACATGTTCAAACCCATCCAAAAGCTCAAACATAGGTTGCCGGGGGGAAAATATGACATGTCATAAAAATCCTTCCTCTACTTATGAGCAATTTTACCCAGTTTACTTACATGTAAGTCTACCTACTTTACTCACATGTACATAAATTAATCTGCTTTACTCACAAGTAAGGAGTAAAAAACAGCAGAAGTAACCAACAGCAGCAGAGGACAGTAGCAACATGAGAGGGAAATGTTGGGGTGAAGGTTGGGGAAATGGGAGATACAGTAACCCCCCCTTTCCCCTTCTTTTCTCCTCCATCAGGGGTCCGCTTAGGCTGTGCAGGATTGTGGGGGTGAATCCCATGGAACTGACTAACCACCAGCCCTGTTTCCCACATTTTCCCACACCCACCATTCTGTGGGCCACGGTTAAATAAAGTAATACGCATATTGAAACAGCAATGCATCAGCTTAGCATGGTATTAGAGTTTTGCCACATCAGTTAGGAGAACAGTTTTAAAAGAAAACAAAAATAGAGAACGGGGGCCTGTCTTTCCTTTTAATGTCACAACCCACCTAATACATCACAAGGTAGTGGTGGGAAATAGTAGTTTAGATTGCTCTCATACACCATTTTCCTTGGGAAAAAACATCACTGAATCCCATAGGAACTGTGTACCATCATGTCTCATATTGAACTGTAGTATTTCAGCTGAAGTATGCATGTTGACAACTCTGTCAACTCACTATCTAGGCACTTCTTTCTGAGTAACACCACACACTCCACCAAGTTTGGGATTTCTTGGTAACTTTTCCCAAACAATACATGGCAGCAAGCCAGTTCTGGAATCTAGGGTAGGATCTTCTAGCGGCAGTAGCAGTAATAGTAGTAGCAGTCATAGAAGAACATGAGGTCTCACAAAAAGTAAATGGAATTGGATACTTTTGCATGCTGTACTATCATTTGTCTCTAACCTGAAAGCATTTTTTTATGTGCACAACTGTGTTTATCAAGAATGAAGGGCGATGGGAAAAGAAGAGCTGAACGGTAGCACCTGTTTCTCATGTCAAGACGTGTGTGAAAATAAATCACTTTTAAGTAGTTAGCAGAGTCCTGGAAAGAAAATTTGTGCTTTCTCTTCTCCAGATAGCAGTGAAAAGATAAGACACAGTGGAACTTTTGCTCTGAAAGATTTCAACAATATAACTCACGGACAATTTGTTGTCTTTCTCCTGCGAAGGCTTTTATCTTGTAGTTTCAGGAAAATATTTACAGCAGCTATTTACAGCACTCCAGACAGCAAACCGACAGCATTACACACAGAATTTCAAACTCCACCCACAGAAGCGTGGTACCAACTTGGTTACTTTTTATATCCATCTTGCTGATGCAATCTTGCTACCTGAATTCCATCAGATGTACAGTGACTCAGCAGAGTTCCACTGCACACATCATAACTTTTCTTAAAGAGACAATATTCTCTAGTATTTAGACCTATACTCTGACATTTCAAACAAAAATCCTGAATATACATAAAGCAAGATAAGTGGTGAAAGTGTGATTAGGAAAATAATGGACTGCTCTAAGGACCCAGACTGTTCTATTAGGGCAAATGCATGGGATTCCATTCTCAGGGAATATTTCTTTTTTCTTTAAAAGGAGAAGTGAGTTTTCAGCCCTTAGGACAGCTGTTCATGGAGGTATGTGAATAACACCTGCTGAAATTTCAGAATTTAATGAAGTGTTAAATAAAAATTCCATTAGTTGTTTGAGGGTGATCTTCAGTGCTCTAACCACTTCTCATGCACAAAAAACCCTTTGAAAATTAAATTGGAGCAATTACACACATCTACTACCTTACATAATTTATACAGGTTGCAGAGTGGAGCTTTTCTTTTACAGGGGTGCAGCATCCACGTACTCCTGGATTTCCAGTCATATTGGCATATATCAAAATCAGTATGAATCTGTAAATACCTGGTGAATCTGTAAATACCTATGCAAAATTATTATTTCCTCCCACTCTCAGTCTGTTTCATTAGAAACTGACATAAATGGCACTCACCAGTTGCCTCTGCTGAAATGCTGGTTGGGCAGTGAGGAATTCTTTTACATTATGTGGCTTAGTGTCTTTACAGTGTGATGACATGAGTGATCTGGAAGTATTTGCTCAATGAGATGCTGAAGCCTTTTGCTTGTTGTGGCAGGGATGACTAGTCGGGTGGCAGAGATTGTGGAGTTTTCTTTGAAAGACAGTTGT